TCGCTGCAGCAGCCCCTCGAGCAGGGAGCGCAGCTCGGGGGAGAAGGAGTCCGGCAACTCGACGGCCTGAGGGAGAGGGCACGGCCGCTCACACCGTGAGCATGCAAGCACCGAGGAACACGTGTGCATGAGTACAGGCACGCACACAGACAGGCACACGTGCGCACACGCGCAGACCTGCATGCGCACAGCATACACCCTGACGCACGGGGAAGTGTGCGCGCAGAGGCTGCAAACACACTCGTGTGCAACCTACCCCCCCAGGCGTGTGTGAACACAAAGAGGCCCATGCGCAGCCACCCACTTGCACACATGCACATGTCGTTCTGCACACACGTGTGCACACGCACGTAGAGATGGGCATGAACACACACTCCAGGTGCAGCTCACCTTCAGGGACCAGCTGTCCCTGACCCCCCACAACCCCCGTGCACCCCCTAGGCCTCTGCCAGCACGTGGTGGGGGGTACAGCAGCACAGGGGTGCTGGCACCCCATCCATGCCTGCCTCAGCCCTCCCTGGCACACGGGGCACAGGCCGGGGTGCCCCAACTCACCATGGTGAGGGTCATACGGTCGATCTCGTGCTTGTCCTTCGTCTTGTGCTGCCGGAAGGGGCTGTGCCTGCGGCCACGAGGGGAGAGGGCAACTCAGCGGTGCCCACCCGTGCCCGCCTGTGCCCACCTGCGCCCGCTCACTCACCCCCGGAGCAGCTTGAAGAGCATGCAGCCCAGTGAGAACCAGTCGGCGCTGCTGTCGTACGCCACTCCTTTCTGCAGCACCTCCGGAGCCATGTACCCGTGGGTGCCCCTGCGGGGGCACAGAGCAGGGTCAGGGGCCATGCCAAGCGGGCAGGCAGGACAGGCAGGGATGCGGGCACACTCACACGCTGGCATGGGGCTTCTTCTTGGAGAAATCGCAGGCCAGGCCCAGGTCTGAGATACGGACGTGCCCAAACTCGTCCAGCAGGATGTTTGCCGGCTGCCAAGACACCGTGCCAGCCTTGAGCCCAAGCGCGGCCCGTGGGGCAGAGAGAGGTGCCCGCATGGCTCAGGCTGGGGTGCTCTGTGGGATTTGGGGGTGTCCACAGGACTGAGGTGCCTGTGGGACCGGGACGTGCCAGTGGAGTCTGCGAGTGCCCCCCGAGGCCCGAGGTCTCAGGATGCCCATGGAGTTTGGGGGTGTTCCTGCAGGGTCAGGGGTGCCCTCTGGGTTTGGGAGTGCCCACGGGGTCCGAGGGCTCCTGCAGGGTCTGTGGGTGCCTGGGACACCTGTTGGTGCCCACAGGGTCCGGGGAGGGGTTTCTACAGGGCCCGGGGATGCCAACGGGGCCTCTAGACTACTGCAGGGGCAGGAGGGTGCCCGTGGGGTGCCCGAGGTGTCTGCAGGGTGACTGTAGGATTGGTCACCTTGAGGTCGCGGTACACCACGAAGCGGCTGTGCATGTGCTCCAGGCCCAGGATGATCTCGGCCGCATAGAACCGCATTTCTGCCTCTGAGAAGACGCCGTGCTGGGACAGGTGATAATGCAGGTCTCCTCCTGCAGTGACAGGGACCAGTTGTCACCCTGGCGCTGCCCTCCGCACCCAAAGGATGGTGCG